CTAAAAAAGTGCTATTTCTTATGAAAAGAAAATTAGACACGTGTTATATGGCAAGATTCAGGTGATAAGGTGGGGAGGGGGGGTTACCTTGGTTGGTGATTGGCTAATGGTTACACAAGACAACACATCGTTATGACATCATAAAGTGGCTAAAATGTGATCAGCTCATTTTCAGACAGGTTTTTATATAAATGGATCAGGAGAAAAAGAGAGAGAATCTTTGTTCCGGAAACTTCCAGAATGTCTTTCCACAGAGGGGACACATGTTGATGTAGAAGAGACATGAAGAAGAAGGGACACATGTTGATGTAGAAGAGACATGGAGAAGAGGGGACACATGTTGATGTAGAAGAGACATGAAGAAGAGGGGACACATGTTGATGTAGAAGAGACGTGAACAAGTGGATTTTACATGATAGGTGACCTTTAAGAGTATTACAAAAATCTCCCTGTCCCTTCCTCTGGCTCTGCGTGTCCCCTCCTCTGGCTCTATGTGACCCCTCACCTCATTGAACCCCAGACCACAGTGTCTCCGGTTCCGGCCCGACAGCTTCCCGTCCATGCCCTGCTGGTACTGCATCTCCAGCTGCTCGTTCATCTCTCTGTCTTCCATCCCTGCAGAGGAGACACCAGTCACAGCAGGCACACCCAGCCACTACAGGCCTATCCATGCATTGGATAGATCTGATTGGCCGGTGTGTAGTGGGGAAGCCAGGTTAATTGCATTGGGCATCAGGATAAGGCAGCATGGGTAAGTGTCTCAAGAACAGTCGCTTGGAGATTGCTTACATAAGAAGCAGCATTTTACAAACGTGAAATGAAGAAGCTTACCACTGCGGACATGGGAAGTTGACTTGTGGTCGCCAATCACGAGTCGTCCGGTGGATTCTTTCTAAAAAAAAACAAAAAACAGAAACAAACCCATTTTAAATCAATAATCAGAACTACTCTAAACATTATCAATTGATGAGCAAGAGCTAAACCAAGCTTCTCTGTTAATCATTTGATACTTTGGACTAAAGGCCTACAATAAGGTGAACCACAAGTATGGTGATCTCCTAAAAACAAATCAAACCTTGCCGGCGCCCATCAAACGTAGAAACTTCAGCTTCCTTTCATCGCTTCCCAGATCAGCTGTCGCCCATGTGGACCCATCCTGCCAAGGCAAAACATCATCATGTGGATTTGATTGATTCACTTCAACAATAACCCTAACCCTCTTCCATCAAACACAGCTGTGCATTAACACACTGTTTATATCAGGCAGGGCTAACTACAGTGCACGATTTGTTTACATATAGTACTCTGACTGTGTATATGTTTCTGTCTCTTTGGTAGATTGGTATATTAGAGAGTATTTTAATGTATTCTGTATATTATATAGTTTGTAGATAGTCTTCTGACTATGTGTCTTTTCTACTCAAGGATATGTATATATTGTTTAAAAGCGAATAAACCATAGGTCCTGCATCAAAAATGTGATCCAACCAATAGGATGAGAAAGGATATGTCTCTCACAGTATATTATGATTTGACCCTCCTCATGTCACACCTTGCACATACACGCAGGTCATGTTGTTGGTCAGTAACCCTTGTTGGGTAAAGCACCTTCAGTCAAACGACCTCTTTACTTGAAACAGATGTCGAGCAAGCTTGCTTTTATGTAAATTAAGACATTACGGCACAATACATAATATATTTTCTGCAACATATTTACAAATCAACCTAAATAGACGAATACACTTTGAATGGGCTGCAAGAAAACGTGTTTACATTTGACCAAAAAGCATTACAAGAATAGCGTTAGCGAGCAGGCTATCGTGATGCTAACCTTATCTTCGTATCTAATAGCTTTTATATTAGCGTAACATTCAAGATGCATTATTTGTACTCACGTCACTTGGAGAAGCTGGACGTTTCGTTCCGTGCCTTTCGTCTAGAGAACTCATTATGTACGCTGTATTTAGTAAAGAAGTCAAGTAAATACCATGCTACCTAGCAATGGCTAGCTCGATTTGTCAACAACCCACCGTGTCGTCACTTCCGGTTCAGTCTTCTTCGTTTGTTTTGCAGTTGGTCAAATAACTCTGCTGCCGCCTAGCGTTGGATTGTGGCACATCACCATTAAAACAGATGCATTTAATTCATTGAGATACAAGTATTTATTAAAAAACAGATATACGATTTAAGAAGCTTTTAAAAAAAATTAAAGTGTAGATCTGAGATTCTTCTGAGAGTTTGTTAAAACAATAACTAAATGCTGTTGTTTTCGCTGGTCTAACAGCAGCCAAAGAAATAATAGTAATACGATGGAAACCCCCACATACTTTATTTATTAAGCAATGGATATCATCCTTCCATGACCTACTAATCTCAGAGCTGTCAATCGCTTCTGCTAATAAGGCTAAGGGGGAAACATTAGAGGCTATTCAAAGAGCTGCTGATCGGATAATATCATTCATGTAAATGATGATTGCACATACGCACACCTTGGTGCAATTGTAGATTATTAGGACTTAATCGCAATTCAGCTTAAACAGATGAAATGTTATGTAGAAAAAAAAAAGTATGAATATATTTTATGTGGATAAATTGTTATGCTATAAATTGTTATGCTATAATATAAATAATATGTATAGTATATAGATGAACTCAGACGATTGCTAAAAAACATCAGGTAGGATTTTCTGTGAAATGGCAAGATGGGTGGGAAGAGGGGGGGGGACGGGGTGGCATGGGAAAGGGATTCCCTTTTTTTTTTTCTTTCTTTGTCTTTTCTTTTGTCTATATTGTCTATATAATTTGTATCTGTATAAGTCCCTTTTGTGAGGGCAAAAAAAAAACAACAATAAAAAGTTGGTCACAAAAAAAGAAAAACAATAACTAAATGCAGTTTCATCATTTTCAAATTGCAGCATTATTAGCAACATAATCTGAGCTGTAGCCTAATCGATTACAGTTGTTTACATGCAATCCTTGTTCATTTAGTTTACTGTATCTCCCAAAGCCATGTCTTTGGATATGCCAGCAAGACTAAAATGAACCTTCTATATGACCTTCCTAAAAACCGCCAAAAGGTGGCGTTAGAGTAACTGTAATAGAGCAGCAGCCCTCACACCTCTGACAGGACGCTGCAACTCAATTTCTGCAACACACTTCATTAAGATATTAACGAAAAGAGAAGTTATTTACGTGTGCTCTCTCCTTTACTAAGATTAACACGTTTTCTATTATTAGTCAAGGTGAGTCCAGACACCTCAGTTTAATATGATCTATTTATGTGAATTGTTTTCTGGCAAAACATTAAATAATCCAACTTTCAAGATTTACCAATTGTGGTTATTCAGAGAAGACAGTGGAGGACATTTTTGACAGAAGAGATTCATTTTTGATGGCAGATTTTTAAGTTGATTGTTTTTCCGTATTGAACTTTGGAAATGTGTTTTTAAATGATAATTGACTACTGGTGAGACATTTCTTAATTACATGTGAAAACACATAATTTTTTTAATGTTTTCTATAGGCTATGTGTTTGCTTAACACAAACCAGCATTTATTTGTTATAAAAAAATGTTCCTTATTTGTGTATTTCTATTTGAAGTGAAAAACAGCCAATAGTTGTAAGACAAATGACAAATATAAAATAAAATAAATGAAATCAACGAGAGCAATTATTTATTCAATTAGTATTCAAAGTGCTGTCCTGCACGTGCATACATACACACACACGCACAGGCAACATTGAGAGAAAGAAGACAGAGGAGCGAAACAAGTTAAACTGAAGGAATGGGGCAGAAATAGATGAATGTAACTCTAAAATAAATATCTAATGAACAATACACATACAGAAAGTGAGTCACACGGAGACAGGCAGATAGTAAGAGAGAGAGAGAGGGGGGCAGAGAGAGAGCGAGAGAAAGAGCGAAAGAAAGAGAGAGAGAAAGAGAGAGAGAAAGAGAGAGAGAGAGAGAGAGGAGGGGTTATCCTGCCTCTCTCTCTTTGCCCGGCTCTGCCCCGCACTCTCACTTAACCTCCACACAGTGCCGGACGGGGAATAACTTTAAATACTTTTATTTTTTAAAGATCCTCCGAATGACAGCTGCTCAGCACCGCCTCTAAAGACGACGCAGAACAAGAAGAGTTTGATTTCCACTTCCAGATCCTCTGCGGAGGAACAGAGGAGTTTACCAAAGTCCCGGACACGCTCCAGCGATGGTGACTTTACGCACGGGATTTGAAGGCTGTTTCATCTGACTGCTCCTGTCTGCTGTCAACCGCTGAAGCTCTTCTTCATCGCCCGTAATCTTCAAGTTTGCCAGGAACTCGCAGAAGAAGTGAATCCAGGTAAGAGAAGTCCCTGTTGCATCACGGACCGTCAGCCGGTGCTTGTTTTTAGAAGTCGGTGCGCACTCTGCTTATCTCTGTTCACAACAAACAGCGATGACAGCAGCAGAATCTCTGAAAGTCTGCCTCGTCTTTAAACCTCACGTTGGACCGTGATTAGGCTCGGTCGACCCTATACCTGAACCGCAACAACTTATTTAGAAAATACGTGTCTTTAATTGTTTTGCAAAGTTTTACATTAGTGTGTAAAAAACTGTAATTTATGTATGTTATAACTGACAAAAAAATGTCACAATTTCCAATTAAAAAACGTATAAAAGTTAAGTTACGAAAAGTTCGATAAAACAATAGGAAATTATAATGTCCACTTTTACCTGTTATTTTTCAGTTATTGTTTTGTTTTTTAACGTAAGTTGTACTCAATGGCACACGTGCAAATGATTAGAAACAGAAGTTGTTATTTTAGTCGTTTTCCCTCATTAAGTCCTTATAAGCAGGTCAAAACCCGTGTGGTTGTCAGGTTGTGAGATGGTTTTGATTTTTGAACTCCTTTCATCCCCTTACTCTTGTGATGAGGTGCTAAAAGAAAAAAAAGATATATCATTAAATCTGTGCTCCTGAAAAACCACACAGATGTGAGCAGAGATCTGACTTTAAACATGTTAGTCTTATAAATGCACTTCCATCTTTTGCCTCAAGTTCAAGCTGTCAGTGAAAATTAAATATTCCGGGTTCATTTCAGAAGATGCAAAAGTAAAACTGAGCAAGACAAGCACTTTAACTTGAATTTAATTGTGTCCACCCTTGGCTTCATCCCTGTCATGCACTTTAAACAGAAATGGTTCAACAGTTTTGTTACAAAATATTTTTTTTTATAGATAATTGAGAAACTTTAATAAATAGGCTTACTCTTTGATAACCATGCGTAAAAACACCTGGATAACATTTCTGGATAATATCAAACGTATTGAAGACAAATTAAGAGCCACTAAACTTTATTTTTAAAACAACATTTTTGGAATGAAGTTTCAATAAAGCAGATGATTCTTAAGATCATCCCATTCAGACCAAATACAGTCTCTGGGTGTCAGTATTTTCCTCTTCGGACACACAGCGGTAGCCTTTGTGTCCATGAACGCTCTGCCGGACAGTCGGTGCGCGTGCCCGGCTCCGCTGCACCTCCACAGACATCCATGTGTTGAGCGTTTAGATTCCCACAAATGTCCTGGAATATAATAGAGATAAATAGACTGTGGATGGGAGAGAAAGTAGGGCGTCTTAAGGGCCAACGTTAACTTTCTCTCCGGAGGTCACGGCGCCTGACCCTAGAAGAATGCGTGAGTCATAAATTAAAATAGACTCGGAGCCCTAAACACGGATTCATTAGGAGACAATACCGAGGGAAACAAGACAGTTTCCCAGTGAGCTGAGACATTCATCTGTAAGTCTTTTTAAAACTCAACTTCCAGTGCGATCTGTGGCTTTCATTATGTTAAAAAAAGTTTGTACCGTGCGTTTTAACTTTCAGGGTGCTAACAAGTAGTGTCCGTTTCACTTGTCCAATATGCAGCCTGATAGAGTGACAGTGCGCGGAGTTAATTGTGGGTGAACTTGAGCCATGCATGCATGCTGGGACGGAGTGAAGAGCCTGAAGCTCGGACAGTTCTCCGGCTCTCCCTGGTGCTGCTGCGTGTTCACGGTGAGGATGTGCCGGGGGTACGGGAGGATAAGACGCACGACACCCGCCTGGATCAGACTGATAGAGTCCCTTCAGGGTGTTCCCCATATTCAGAGCCACACTACACCTCTCTGATAAGCTGCTGCTGCTGTCTGAAGATAAGAAGCTTTTAGAAAGACGAGACAAAGAGAGATCACACATGCTTGACAAAAATGGATCAGAAAACCACTAAACAGGAAATTGTTTCTCAGATTGAAATATCAACAACTCTTATTATCTCTTCAATATTTGTAGTTTTGCACAATTTCCCCAGCGTCAGATGTAATTGTTTTTAGGCATGCACCGTTTTTTTGTTTAGAGATCAAATCACTCCTCTATTCAGAGAAATAATTGCCCGGTTTGACAGATCCTCCTGTTGCCAGTTTGGACATGCCCACACCAGCCTGCGCAGTAAATTACTATTTCCAACAAGTTGTTTGATTGTTTGGACTCTGGCAGAACAATTTATAGACCAGCAGCCCCCCTCTCTCTCTTGTAAGTGAGAGTGTCTGTCTGAAAAACAATCCGAGCGAAGGGGGGTCGCTGAAGTTGATCTCCTATGGCATTTTGTTTTGAGCAGGTGCTGCGGGTTGAAGCTCCCTCATAAGGTAAAGTGGCATTAGAGTGTCCAAATGGCAGACTTATATATAGGCTGCCAATTCAGCACATTGTCCCGGGCTGCATTGCGCGCTCTCTGAGGGAGACCTGCAGCTTTTCCCTTTTTTCTTCTTCTTCTTCTTCTTCTTCTTCTTCTTCTTCTTCTTCTTCTTCTTCTTCTTCTTCTTCTTCTTCTTCTTCTTCTTCTTCTTCTTCTTCTGTGGGGATCCGCGCTGACAACAGGCGGACCAGCCTGCGTACAGCCGGGCACTGTGTGGCCCGTCAGCAGCCTGTCAGCAACGTGTTAAAAACCGTGCGTAAAACGACCCTCATATCTGGCAAATTCATTCATCTTCACCTCCTGACATTTAATATGTAAATAAAAATTGCAAAAGGAAAACTGTTTTC